ATGAGGAGGAGGAGGAGGAGAAGGAGGAGGAGGAAGAGGAGGAGCAGGAGGCGGAGAAGGAGGAGGAGGAGGAAAAGCAATTGGAGGAGGAGGAGGAGGAGGAGGAAGAGGAGGAGGAAAAGGAGGATGAGGAAGAGGAGGAGGAGGAGGAGGAGGAGGAGGAGGAGGAGGAGGACGAGGAGGAGGAGGAGGAGGAGGAGGAGGAGGGGGAAGGGGGGGATGAGGAGGAGGAGGAAAAGGAGGAGGAGAAACAGGAGGAGGAGGAGGAGGAGGAGGAGGAGGAGGAGGAGGAGGAGGAGGAGGAGGAGGAGGAGGAGGAGGAGGAGGAGGAGGAGCGGGAGGAGGAGGAGGAGGCGGAGGAGGGGAAGGAGGAGGACCCGTGCGCACGTGCGCACGCAAGATGACAAGATGAGAGCAGCAACGCTTCCCGCTCTTGTCTGGATAGGTTTGCTAATTGATAGTTCTCTTATTCATGTTTCTGGGTGTTTTGTAAAGGCATTTGGCTGAGGAGCGCTATGGCAGGAGCCCGAAACGCCCCCCTGCATAAAGATCTGGCGCGACCCTCCCTCCACACGCCGCCACACATGTAAAGTTGTGGTGCGCTCGCGCGTGACTCTTTTGTTCTTCTTCGTCTTGGGCCTTCATCCCCTGCGGCACATAATAGGTTGCATCGGTGCCGTGCAGCCCCTCCGTCCCTCAGCGTTGATGCGAGGTTTTCGCTTGTGCTTTCGGGGCCGTGCGCAAGGTTTTCAAGGCATGACTTGCCAGCTCCAGCTGACAGATGACATGTTCAATCCCTACTGTGAGCGGAATGCCTATTGGTCGTATCGGGCGCCAGGATAGATTTGATCATGCACTCTGGGCATGAGGGCGAGAATCTGGGTCAGACAACGAGGGGGGGAAATGGAAGAGGGAAGATCCGTGAAGGGAGGCTCGGGGTGGAGCGGAGCATGAGAATGATGAGGAGGATGAGGAGGATCAACAGGTCGATGAGGGCGCGGGGGATACTCACAGCAGTCGTTCCGTGCTTATGTGAGGCCGCGGTCTTGATGCAGCAGATCACCCGAGCCGTGTACTACATGCGCGCGCCCGTGGGCGGAGGAGGGAGTGACGGAGGGGGAGGCGAAAGAGGTGTTTTTGGAGGGGGGCTTTTGTTCATCTCCCAGCACCGTTTGCGATCCGATTTGCGACTCGGCTTTTTTTGCTGCCAGTGTTCGGTCGCCATGCGTCTGGGCGGAGGCTGCTGGCATTACTTGTGTGGAGGTGTCTGCGACTGGCAGCCCTTTCGAAGGAATCTCCCCGCGACTCGCCCAGGCAGGTCGATCGCCATGGCTGGACGAGGCGCTGGCCGGAAGAGCAGTCGGTACCAGCGTAAACATGTGTTGGCCAGGATCGGCGGAAGTGCGGCCGCGCGATCAAGTAGGAGAAGGAGCGACTGGCGGGCTGTTGGCTGGCTTCTGCTTGTTATATCTCCTAGAAAAATCCCGGGGAGGCTTGTCCAAGGGGGGTTGTCCGGGGGGGGTGCCCGGAGCTTTCCGGGGTTGTTCGGGTCGCATGCCATTCTCACACATACGATCAAGAAACATGGCACAACAGGGAAGCCCAGCTGGAAATGCCGCCTCTCTTTTCCCCCTTTCCCTCCTGTCCGTTCCTCGTGTTTCGCGTCCCCCTTCCGCTCCCTTTCCCATACAGCTGTGCTGACTGGGGTCTTGTTGCGGTAGAAGCTAGTTCTAGCCAAGGGGCCAGCGCTCCGATACACCCGCCAACATCGGGGGTGGTCCGGTCAGTTTCGCCAGAGACGCCCTCGCAGTTCTGAGTTCGGGGATGCCCTGAATTGAGGTAGTCTGGCCAGTTTGGCTTGACACATTCTCGCAATTCTGGGTTCGGAGATGCTGGCGTCCCCGCATCTCTGGGCTCGAAGATGCAGCGCGCGAGGTGGTCCAGCCAGTTCCGCCAGAGACATTTGGGCTCGGAGATGCAGCGTGCGAGTTGGTCCAACCAGTTTCGCCAGAGACATTCTCGCAACTTTGGGTTCAGATATGCCGCGTGACATTTTCCGGCCAGTTTTGCCTGAGACAGTCTCGCAACTCTGGGCTCAAAGATATCTTGCCCTGAGGCGGTCCGGACCGTTCCTTCTCAGACGTCGTCAGATGCTGCGCGAGAGATAGTCTGGCCAGTTTCGCTTGGGACGCCCTCGAATGTCTGGGCTTGGAGATGCAGCGTGCGCGGCTAGTGTCGCCCGAGACGTCCTCGCATTTCTGGGCTCCATTTTTGGGCTCCAATATGACCTGACCTGAGGTGGTCCAGCCAGATTCGTCTGCGACATGCCGCGCGCAAGGTGATCCAGCCAGTTTCGCCTGAGACGTCCTCGTGTTTCTGGGCTCGGAGATGCAGCGCGCGCGGCCAGCGTCGTCTGAGTCATCCTCGCAACTCTATGCACCGAGATGCCCTCATCTCAGTGGCTCGGCCAGGCCAGTTTCGCCTGAGACATCCTGGCAACTTTGGCCTCTGCATTGCCGCTCGCGAAATGGTCTGGCCCGTATCGCCAAAGACATTACCGCAATTCTGGGCTCGGAGATGCCGCGCGAGAAGTGGTCCAACCAGTTTCGTATGCCGCATCCTCGTATTTCTGGATTCCGAGATGCCTTGCGCGAGAGGTGGTCCAGCCTGTTCCGCTTGGGATCCTCTCAACTATGGGATCATCGACGCCGTGCGCGAGAGATGGTTTCGCCAGTTTCGTTTGAGATAGTCCTCGCAACTCTGGTTCCGAGATGCCTCGTGCGAGGTGGTCCGGCCAGTTTCGCTAGTGGGGCTGCCAGAGCTGCCAGGAGGCATGCCAGGAAGCTCACTCCAAGCGTGCCCGCTCGCTTGCGGTTCACGTTGCCTTGCCCACGTTGTGTCCAATTCGGACTGTGCCAGTTCTGGGTTCTGCATGAAGGAGCGGGTGCCAGGGCGCGTGCGGGCGCTATTCTTTCTCGGTGAATTACGCTTCGCTGGGGCAGCGCGGCGGCTTTTGCACGTGTCGCTGCGCAGCGTCGCGCGCAGCCCCCGCAGGCCCGTGATACCGGCTCCTTGCCAAGCGCCCGCCTCTGCGCGCTGCGCCTGTTGCCCGCTCGGCAGAAAGCCCCAGTTCGGATTGTTCGAAAGGGCTGCCTGCGTCTACTACGCCTGCCGAGAAGTTATCTTGCGCGCGGCATCGCGTGCCCCCGGCCGACGCGCCGCGTGCCCACAGGAAGTGGAGCGTGGGATTGCATGCTCGGGTTCCTGCCAGGCCCGGGGCCAAATCGAAGCTCGGGCGCTGCAGGGGTAGTACTGGGGTCTGAAAGCGTGAAGGAGTTGATCGCTTCAAATTTACAGATGGTCTGGCGGGATTCAGATCTCGCGCAATGAGATGCAGGCGGATCTTCGGACGGCGGGCCGCAGTGCAGCATCTGGTCTGCTCTGCCGCTACCGTTGGGCAACATCCGCCCGTTTCGGCATGTTTTGTCGGGAGTTTGTGATGGGTTGCGAAGGACGCGTTGCTTTCAAGTCGCGTTTGTGGTGGGGGCGGTGGGGGGGCATTTCCGCGCGAAGTGGGCGGAGCCGCGCGCGGCCGACGCGAACAGGAATTTTAGACTCTTCGCGTATCCCCACCAGCGGCCCGGCCTTTCCACGACGTGGCCGTTCCGCAAAACGGCGCCGCCGCCCTGGAGTACGACTTCCTGTTCATGTGGTGCATCCTGTGGCAGGTCCGTGTCTCCTCCTGGCCGACGTTTCCCCCCCGGCGTTGCCGTCCTTTGCTTCTTCCTCTGGGAGAGGTTCACGCTTGCTGTCGCCATCGACGTCCTGCCCTTCTGCGATGGTCAGATGGTGCGCTCCTACCTGCAGGTCCCCCCTGGCGTGACACTGGGCACTGGTGGTTGTGACGTGGTTTGCGCGACGTGCATCCCTGTCGTTAAGGATGGTGGCTGCCCTTCAGGATTCACGACTTGTCCACCATTGATTGGGTCAGAGTCGGCTCGCCGGCGAGCACCTGGTGCTCCGTGAGTGAGGCATCTTGCCTTTCCCCCCCTCTTTCGTCCTTCCGTCGCCCTGCTCTTGGCTTGTTGCCTCCGTTTGCCCGTTTTCCCCAATTTGTTCTGCATGTTGCACGTGCGGTCGGCTGTCGACAGTGACAGCTGGGTTAGCGAATTATCTGGCTCTGTGCCCCAGTCAGCCCGATTGACACGCCCTCTGGACTCTTCCTTGCGGGCCGCAGATCAAAAAAATATCCCCACCAGCCCATCCAGGAACGATGTCCAGGCGAGTTGAGGTGATCAGGAAAGTGCGGCAGCAAAGAGAAGGACGGCCGAACCGTGCAAAGGAGTGAGGAGGAGAAGGAGAAGGTGGATGGATGGATGGATGAGGGAGTGGGAAGAAGGAGGATTAATAGGATGTCCCAGGAGGAGGAGGGCAACACAAGGGCCAGAGGTCTCTTGGATGCCTCTAGGAGCCTCTTGGGTATCTCTTGGGCGATTCCTGGTGGCCTCTTGGGACGTCTTGGGTGTCCCTTGGCGATCCTTGGGGGCTCTTCGGGGTCTTGGGCGCCGCGGGGGGGGGGGGCTTCTTGGGGCCGCTTAGGGTCTCCTAAGGGGCCTCCTGGGGACCTCTTGGGGGCTTCGTGGGGCCATCTTGGGGCCATCTTGGGACCTCTTGGGGCCTCCTGGGCGCTTCTTGGGGCCATCTTGGAGGAGATCGGT